TGTAAGTCCACCTTATGTACCTACATTGCCTCCCCCGCATATAGAGGTGCCTAAGACGCCTTCTCCCACTACATATCCACCATTTTCACCCAAACTTCCTCCTCCCGTTTTTAATCCCCCAGTTTTGCCTAAGGCACCTCCTAATGTAAGTCCTCCTCATGTTCCTAAACTTCCCCCCCCCACATACACAAGTGCCTAAACTACCTCCTCCAGTTCTAAATCCGCCATCTCTACCAAAGCCGCCTACTATTTTAAGTCCACCTCATGTAACAATATTTCCACCCCCACTTACACAGGTTCCTAAGATGCCTCCTCCTACTAAATATCCACCATTTACACCGAAGCTTCCTCCATCCATTCTCAGTCCACCAATTATATCTAAACCACCACCTACTACTGTAAGTCCACCTCATGTACCGACATTGCCTCCCCCGCATATTGAGGTGCCTAAGACGCCTTCTCCCCCTACATATCCACCATTTCAACCCAAACTTCCTCCTCCTGTTCTCAACCCCTCAGTTATTCCTAAGACACCTCCTAATGTAAGTCCTCCTCATGTTCCTAAACTTCCTCCCCCACCTGTGCAAGTTCCTAAACTACCACCTCTTGTTATAAATGCACCACTAACACCTAAGCTACCTCTTCTAGTTTTGAATCCACCACCTTTGCATAAGCCACCTTCTATTTCAAGTCCACCTCATGTACCTACATTTTCTCCCCCACTTACACAGCTCCCTATGATTCCTCCTCCTTGTATAAATTCACCATTTACACCTAAGCTTCCTCCTCCCGTTCTCAATCCTCCAGTTATGCCTAAGCCACCTGTTATTATAAGTCCACCTCATATTCCTAAGATTCCTCCCCCATATGCACAAGTGCCCAAACTACCACCTTCGGGATTCCAAATCCCTACCTAAGGTATCACACTTTTTAAGTTTTCTATGTTTGTTTTCATTGTCTTTTCTATTTAATGATGATTGTGAAAATGATTGAATGTAGAGCTTTTCAAATGATCTGTTGATTTGTATTCCATTGCAGGAAATGCAAAGCTTATTCCATGAAGACAATGATGTGAGATCTCAAAGAGATGGCTTTTATTGGGAAAACTCTTCTCATCTGGTGCATCTAATAAAACAAATATACTATAAGGGATGGTTGTTTGGAAAATAAAATGCTTATGTAATTTAATATATTTTTAATGGGAATAAATGTTATATTTTATGTACCCATGTTTTGTAATAACATTGTAGTACTTTCTCTCTACATGGAAGAGACATGCATCATGACTAATGGTAGTGTCATTTTGGGGCCATGGGAGTCATAACCTTTCTTTTTTTAAAAAATCATAGATAAAGACAAAAGGAAGATAAGGATATTTGAAGAATAATTTTAATCTCTTAAAAGCAACTTTGTATAAGGAGACATGACTCAAAAATCAATTCCTAATGATCTCAAGTGAAGATTAAAGTACAACAATAAAAGGGGTTAAGCACCTACTTTTGCTTGAATTAATTTTGACATTTACTTCTTATTTGATATATTGAAAACATAAGAATTACATGTTTTTTGAGAAAAGGCCTAATCACCTGTAATATTTCATTAATGATAAATTAATAAAGAAGGCCTAAGAAGAGGCATGTAAAAGTCTTATGCCTTGAGAAAAGCTAGATACAAGGAGATCAACTCCACTATGCATTAAGAATATACAAAAATAGTAGAACCATGGAGATCTCAAAACCCAAAGACTATTTATAGTGAATAAAAGGAATACCCATCCCATATTTAAGAATCAAGCCTTGGGTTTTAGTAGGTGTTAGAACTGATAGCCTTACCCAAGAGGTGGGTGAACTAGGTAGATCTTTAAAAATTATTTATCTTTGAATTCAAATCTGAATTCTTTGGCTCTTATCAAGTCAAGATCAAAATCCTTCCCCTCAAACTGAAGCTAAGACTTCTTCACAATGGAGATTAAGATGCAACCGAAGATTTGGCTTAGTTAGTTTGATTCAATAGTTAATTAAGATGTTATTCTTAGATTAACCTAACTATAGGACTAGAAATCTACAACTACAAAACAAACAAACAATCTAATAGCAAGAGCTGCAGGGAACAACAGTGAATGAATAATAACAACAAAATAAAGACTGGTGCCAAGAAGATGATAGTAGCTAAGTGATAAGTATAACAATCAATATCTACAACCTGCTAACAGTTTAGTAGTTCTACAATTAAACAAATGAACATAAACATTGAATGTAAAGAGTTATAGAAAAGTAAAGAAGCATATGGAAGCATAATAAAATGTAAAAGGTAGCTACACTTGGTGTTGTCTACCTGAGTAGTTAGAGAAAGATGACTAGTCACTAACAATAGCAATGAAATGGACCTGCTATAATATTATAGCTAAGAGGAGGATCAACTATCCTAATATAATCAAGTTGAGATTCAAGTATTGATCAACTGCTACTAGAATCTCAAGGATAGATCTAACTACAAAAATGTTAATAGTATCGAATAGTAAATGAACAATGAAAGCAATAGTAAAAGTAAATGTAAAGCAATTAGAGAAACTTAGTATAGTTAGTAGGGTTAGTAATGTTAGAGCTTAATAACTGCCCGAAATCACCTTGTATCTTGTAGATGAAAATAAAGAAAGATAGAGTAAAACAAAATCTATAAGATTTCAAGAGATCAAGTTATTGACGTTATGAGAATGCTAGAAAAGATAAACATAAACTACAAAATTTTAAAAGAAAAGAAACATACAAGGCATACAAGATTTTTATATAGGTTCGACCAAGCCTACCTATGTCTTATACCTTAAACCACCACTAAGGATTTTCACTAACCGTTTGGATTTTCGAGTTCCAACCAAGTCTTCACAACTAGTAGGACTTCATGGGCGCCTGCAATACATAAATTGGTTGGATTGCACGGGTGTTAACCCAACCTAAACTAATAGGACTTTTGGGTGCTTACAATACTTTGTAGTTAGATTTAATAGAGGTGCCAACAAGACATTAATAGATGTTCAACAAACATCTACATGCTTAAATATTCTTTCTTTCATTAGAACAGGAGTAGGTTTACAAGAAAGAGCAACGTTACTCACAAATAATGCTTAGCTCAAAGAAGAAGATCCCAATAGATGGGAGGGATTATACAAGCTCAAAAGCTTTCAAGACTTGCTCATCACTACTATTGAAGCATTAGGATCTCTTATTCTAAATGACTTTAGCTTGGATTGATTTCTCTAAAAACAACTACATACAATATGTACAAGGAATGCAAAGGTTGAACTCATCTACTTATGGAAGTGGGAGGGGCTAACACATTTGAAAATTTTAGCGATGGGAGAAATGCCATCAAAACCCCAGAGAAAACTTCCTTTTCTAGTGTTGTCATCTTCTTCCAATCCTTTTCCTTCTTCTCTAGATCCTCTAGTGATTGATGTGGCTATGAAATAGCCAACCTTGAAGGTGAACCAATGACCGAATTTACTGATGAAGAGATTACAAAGTCTCTGGATCCTTTACAATTTGCATTGGTAGGTAAATGCATATATAGACGACCATCATTCTCAAAAATTAGAGAATTTCTAGCAGGTACTTTCCACCACAAATCGACAATAGTGATCACAACTTTGGATTCACGTCATGTTTTTCTCAAGTTTGAAGATGAAGATGAGTTTTTACGAGTTTGGATGAGTGAAGTAGTTTTCATCAAAGATTTTTTATTTCGCTTCCTCACGTGGACATTGGGTATGGAGTTGGGCTAGGAACCCTCAGTTATTACACTTTGGTTCTCTCTCCCATAACTCCTAGTGAATCTATACAATGATTCTTATGTGTGTTCCATCACAGAAGTTGTCGAAAGGGTGCTCAAAGTGGATCAAACCACTGGATGATTGACAAGAACAACTGTGGCTAGGGATTGTGTTAAGGTTGATTTGTTGAAAAGAAACCATAGTCAAGTTTGGGATGGAATGGGGGAGAAGGTTTTCAATAGAAGATTATTTCTGAATATCTTCCAACATATTGTCATTATTGCTACAAACATAGCCATGACATCTCCAAAGTCAACTAAAAAAGAAATAGCTAAATGATCCCCTAGGCCGGCTAAGATTGTCAGGTGTATCAGGTCACGAGGGTGATCTGACAACCAGAGTTACCCACATTGATGGTGCCCATCACTACAAGAAAATGTGTCTATAGCCATTGTACTCTAGTCACGAACATAAAAAACCATGGCTAATGCATGGGATATTGCCACAGCCATGAAATGTCCATAGCTAAAATATGATCTTTAGCTACGATCCTTTGTTTATTGCTAAATATCAGTTTTTCCATGGCTAAAAGCTTTTTATAACCACAATTTTTAGTTATCTGTAGCTATAAAGTGCATAAATAAATATTGATTTTTAGCTATGGTCGTGTTGTCCATGATTAAAGAGAATTTTATCTATCAGTAAAAGTTATTTATGGCTATAGCTACAATAGTTATATCCATAGCTATAACTATGAAATTGAACAATTAGAATTCAATAATAACGTTTGAAAAATATGCCTGCAGTATTGTATTTTCTCTTTCCTTCCTGCCCCCAAAACTACTCTATGCTCTTCAGTCTTCCTCTTTACTTTTGTTTTAAGAATCTTTTTCTATCAATCAATCTCACATTACCCTATTCCACAAAACCCTCTTCTTTCTCTCCAATCTCTATTTTTTGCTACTACTCAAAAAACCCTCATCTTTGATTTCGATCGAGCTGTCCGAAGGTGTTGTAGCCAACAATCCATTAGCTAGTTCCGGTGTTTCTATAGGAACATTTAGTAATTGACTGCTTCAGGTAAGAATTTCTTTGATTCTCTAACTCTTTATTTCTCTCACCAAAAACGCTACAACATGTTCTTTGATTTAGGATGACAAAAAATCATTGTGTTTCTCTAGATGCAAGAACTAGTTCGGGTGCCAAAGGTGTGCAGCTTCGTTGGCTCAGGTTTGTTTTAATTGGCATATCCCTCTTCAACTTCATTGGTTCGTCAAGTTCCCAATCTCTTTTGGGAGAGAACCCCTTAAACCATTGTTGTATGATAGATCCCTACATGAATCGATTGTTAATTAGGGATAATTCTTTTCAAATGATTATAGTAAAAGAAAAAATTGAATATTTCTAGTGGGTAATTCTTTAACCAGGGGTGGGGGTATCAAGTAAGGTTGTTCCATGTTTTTGTTTTTCTCTGCACTAGGATGTTGTTAAAACATATTCTTGTAGTAGTTGGATGACCATCTCCTATACATCTTTGTAAATTGTTTGGTTGCATTGTTTGTTTATTGTTCTTTCATTTTCAACTCATTGGAGAAAATAATACAAACTATGTTTCTAAGAATATATATTAGAGTAGATAACTAACAGACCCTCTACCTACTTGTTAACCCAATTTTGTTACAACAAGGTTGCCTTCCCATCTTCTAACACAAGCCAAAACAAAAAAAAAAAAAGTAAAGAACATGTATTGAGAGAAATAGAAAGGGAGAAAAATAGAAGGATGAATTCAGAAAGAGAGAGATAGGAGCAGATTGAAGGGACAGGAGATCCATCATATGGATGGCCGAACCTTGCAGGAAGGTTGGGTGAAATTTCAAAAATTTCTTTA